ATGCAAACTTACATGGTGCCCTCACATGTTACAGTCACCTACTCGATGTGTCGGTAAACCACACACGCTCCACCGAACTATGACAAACATTGAGTCACCCTTTGCTACCTTTGCTTAGAACCATTTAGTGTGCCGGTAAACCACACACGCTCCACTAACGTCTTCGCAAGGGCACAAAGTGTAATTTCATGGAATTGCATCAATTCACTTTTGCCTAAGTAACTAAGATTGAGAATTTGAAAAACATTTAGTTACTTCGTATTTCATTATACTTCTAATGGAAGGTAATCGTCCTATCCTACCCGTTCGGCTAACGACCCTCCACTAGTCAAGAGTGCGGTGGGTAAGAGTGGATACCCATTCAATCGCCATTTTATAGGCAATTTCCTTAAACACCCCTTATAGACCAGCTTCGTGAATGAGGCCTACTAACGGTAAGACTGACTTTTACTCATGCATATATATAGTTAGACTTTTAATGTTATATATAGTATAGGGTGTATTTTACACTTTTAAAATACTAGGTGGTCAAATTTTTATAATTATACTTTTAATTCAATTAAATTGCAAACCAAAACTTTTATGGATTTATTAAACCTCTTTTAATTATACACCTTAATTAATTAATAAAACCATAAGGGTGTGAATTGAACTTTTCAAAACATTACTAGGGTTTTAGAATTTAACATTCCTAATTAAACTTTTAAACAACTTTTAAATTCCAAAACTTGAGGGCAAGTTTTGAAACATTTCAAAACATTAGGGTTTAGAATTTAAATATAATCAAAATTAAATTATTAATCAAAATTTAAATTTCAAAACTTGAGGGCTAGTTATTAAACCTTTTTCAAAACATTAGGGTTTCAACTATTTAAATTTCAAAACAACAAAACTTTTGGGTTCAAATTGAAACTATAAAACCTAAAGGGGAAAATATGAAACTTTTCATAACAACAAGGATCAAACAACAAATAATCAAAATTAACATTTAATCACATAATTATCCATATTTGATTTATTTAACGATTTCTTGCAAAACAATTTACCAATTTAATCAAAATAATTAATCAATTATCACATGAGGAAACAAATATTTTATTAATTGATAAATATCTTCAATTAGATCAAGAATATACTCATATATATCATAAAATCGGATTTATATTGATCTAATATGATAAAGGCAAGTACCTCAAAGATAAACAGCAAGAAAGCCTGAAAATAGCTCCATCTAACGCTCGAACTCGCCGAGTACCCCCATGGACTCGCCGAGTAGGGGGCAACTCGCCGAGTCCACAGTGGGACTCGCCGAGTCCATCATGCAGAACCACAAAAAACGAATTTTTTCAACACACAAGGCATCAATACAATAGAAACCAATCTAGGGTCTAATACCACTAATAGGTTTTGGTCATAAGAACATCCTATGTGCTCATACAAATCCTAATGCTTGGATCTAGGTTTCTCTATTGTACATGCAAGTTATCCAAAACTATAAACCCTAGATCTAACATATGATAATCAATATAACATATAATTAGGGTTTAGATCATACCTTGATTGTTATGTAGCAATAACAATCTCAATTCCTCCTTCTATTGACTTTAGAAAGCTTAAAGTCACAAATGTCACTCCTCTAAGGGTTCACAAACACCAGAAGCAAGAGGATGAAGAGGACAGAGGATGGAGGCTGCCCAAAACGTGTTCTAACCCTAGAAGAAGGCTTAGCCACGTTTTTGGTCCTTAAGGGATCTATATATAGTGAGGCTATTAGGGTTATCTAACAAGGAAACCCTAATTTGGATGGTTAAGCCCTAAGCAACCAATAGAATCCTTTAATTAAGGCTTTGGACGATTTCCTTATGGGCTTCCCCGTAGAATTCATCCACTCCTTAATTTAAGACAATCCATAGCCCAAATTGCAATTATCTTATAATAACAATTCCAATCCCTTAAGTTTAATTAATCTCTTTTAGTTACAAAACTAATTACCAATTAATTATTGACTAATATTAATTAAACAATATGATTTCTCCTTTAATATATTATTCTCATAGTATATTAATAAATCATATTTAATCTTTTCTCTCCATAATTCATCCTATCAAGTTGCTTTGGTGAAGGCAACCCAAAAGGACCATGCACCATCGGGTCAAGTACATACCAAAATAGTTATGGACTTAGACACTAATCAAACAATAAATTCATTGCAACACCTAGCTACATTACACTATTTCACAAAAAATGTTTCATAAATCATAATCTTTGAATAACTAGAATCAAAATCAAGTATAATTAAAGAGCATGGATTATAAAACTTCTTGAATTGTTGTTGATTTATACATCACAATAACTATATCATAAACTCTAACTACATAAATTAGAATAATTTAATTACCAAGTTATAGATGAAATATGGACAAAATCGATAACTATTTTGTGATGTGGAGAATGATCAGGTGTATAATACTAATATGAATCTATATAATGAGGTATTTCTGTGACCTTTTAGTGTTTTATTGTGATAGTATCTTAAACAAATTATAATCACGAAAATCATGTTGATTCAGAAATAGATGAAAATCGAGCTTGATGATTTTGTTTTCTAATGTTTTGATTTTTCACAATAACACATAAGAACAAGCACAATATATAGAATTTTATATTAAAACACATATTTCAATTCATAGAATAACAAGAATATCATGTAATAACATTTCAGAATATATAGAAATTTCTACTAGAAGATACATTATAATAATTAGAATACTTAAAATATCGCACGGGAACAAAAAATGGTATATAAAATAAATATCAATCCAAAATATACAGAGTATTCAACTAAAACATACATTGCAATTCAGAATATATCAAAAATTATACTAAAACATACATTATATGTCATAGGATAATTAGAAGATCGTATAAAACATTCTAGAATATGTAGACTTTAGTGGTTTAATCAAGTTCATGTTTTGCAAAGTGGAGATTGATGATGTATATAATCATAATTTGATTGTGTAAATGAGCCTTTTTTGTGACCATTTTAGTGTTTTATTGTGATGAGTATGAAACAAACTACCTTACATTAACGACAAATGTCAAATATTAGTAACATTCTAAAGCTTTCAACATACAAGAGATTTGATTGAATACCAAATCAAGAAATTAAACTTATAATCCATAGATTTATATAAATCAAAATCATATAAACATACATACGATACTAACATATCAACCCATATTATGCTAATTTACTATTAGATCATGTCATTAATCACCAAATCAACTTTTAAAATTAAATCTATAATTCACCAAATAAGCAAATCAAATATTATTAAGACATTACCCAAAATAAAAAATGATTTATCAATTATTGAAACCTAAAATACCTGCAATAGATGTAATTTCCTTAGGTTATGGATCTTTTAAGCCATCAGGGGAAGTTTTATGTTTGAAAACGATTCAAAGCCTTTAATTGAGAATCAACTACTTTTAGCAAATCACACACAAATGAGAGCCTGAATTTGAGTCGATTTTAGTAGAGTGAGCCATGATTGATGTTCGATTAGAAGAAAAAAACCTTCAAATTGTTGTACTCGAGCTTGAAATCTCTTTGACTATTGCGATTTTTAGGGTTTTTGATGCCTTCCTATTGAACAAGAAGCTAGGGTTTTATTGATGGGTTTTCTAGATTATTGCATCTAATTACACCTTTTGATAAGTAGAAAAATGCGAAGTGGAGATTGACTGGGTGTTTAATCGGATTTTGATTGTGTAGAATGAGTCATTTTTGTGATTATTCTAGTGGTTTTTCGTGATGAAATCTGAAACAAATGAAAATTGGAAACAAGATGCCAAAGTAGAAATAGATGAAAATTGAGCATGATGAATATGTTTTCTAGGGTTTAGAATGAAAGAAATATCTATGCAATCGCGTAGAAATATGGAACGAGTTGAGATAGGATTTTACATGAATGAGAGGTTTTTGGTGTGGAGAAGAATGAGAAGCATTTCTGTTTGAATCATGATTTAAAAATGTTAATTAAAAAGTTACAATATTAACCCTCCGTGTCTAAGAATTAATCCCAAAGTTCCATCTATTTACAAAAACACCACTGCCTCCAAGTTATTTGATTTGATAACAATAGATGAATGGTTCAGATCTTGTCCTTTTATCTCACAAAACTGTCTTGTCTCACATGAACCTAACCCTATATATATATATATATATATATATATATATATATATATATATATATATATATATATATATATATATATATATATATATAACATTACAGTTTGTGCTTTAATAAACCAATACTCGTTCCTGCTAATTCTTATGACCTTAGTAAACAAAAATAGGTTATAGATTGATTACCTGCATCCTAAAAGTCATGAACAACCCAAAGAGCAAGACAACATTCCATATACATCACTTTAGTACAAGATAACTTTCATTTCCCAATTCGACTAATTTTCAGTATATTGAGACTATCTTGAAATTTACCACTCCAATTAAGTTGATATTAGAGTCCCTGGAAACTAGAATCAATTTCCTCCAACATTGTCTCTCTGGTGCATTATCTAAATCTGCACATATTCGTCACTACAACCCTTGCAAGATGGGGAAATGTTGTGCAAAATTTCAATATTTTATCAAAATCGCCACATTTGTGCATAAACTCAACGATTCATGTTTCTAATTATTCTAAACATAAATATGAGTTGAATAATTTCTCTTACATCCTAGAACACGTGATTAATACTAGTATCAAGATGAAGGAAAGAAATCACCAATACACCACAATAAAAGTCTTCAAAAATGCTTCACAATCCTCTTGAACCACACTTGAAGAATAGGAAAGGAAACCTCACAAGAACACACTCCAACAAGACGATGTTGGCTGCAAATATGAAAATAGGATCACAAACCCGAATTCTAGGGTTTGCCTTACTTAAATACCCCATAATTTCCATAATTGGCCCTCAAAATATCACAAAATAGCATCGCAAACTCCGAAATCCTATGAGCATTTATGAAATGTCATACCAACATTACAAAATTTTAAAAACTAACCAAAACCGAAGAATATTCTGATATAAGAACATGAAAATGTGTCATTTAGTTAAAAACCGGATGAGAATTAACATCTTGAAGACATGGGCTAGGAGATAATGTTTTTTCAAGAGCTCGGTGCAACCGAAAGGAAAACACACTTTATGTACTCCAATTGAGGAAGAGTAAATGGTTAGCATTAAAATGTTTAGTTCTTATCATACCTTAAGAGAATTACTATCAATAGATAAATCTTCAAGCTCGGGCAAGTTACATAACACCCTGGCCAAATCTATTACTTCCCCTTCAACAAAATCTTGTATATCAAGTCGAGTAAGCGATGGATTATTCAAAAACCTGAGCAACATGGCACCCGGACAATTTAAGACAACCAAACTGGACAATTTTGAAGCCTTCATGTTGAAATTGCTAACATCTGTGCACGAACGCATGGACAGATCCTTTAGCTGTGGTAAGGAGATTTGAGTTCCAGACAAGTTAGCCCGAAAATCAACTTTCCTGAGATAAAGATATTCAAGATTAAGAAATGGTTGAAACTCAAGTGGTTGCTTGAAGAAACAGTTCTCCAATTTCAACTTTCTTAATTCTAAACATGAAAACACATAAGAAGGGAGTTCATAACGTCGAGATGAATTAGTAAGAATGAGTTCCATGACACCGTTTCTTGATAAGAACGACAACCACGGATCAACTTCATTGAAGCTATCAAGAAATACGTATGGTATATGGAGATGAAATTTCAAGATAGGACCCTTGTGAAGGAACAAGACTTTGTTTATAATCCTTATAAACCCATTATGATTAGAAGCTCTGTTTCTTGCAAAATTTTCAGAGAACTGCTCATCAAAAACAAGTTCCCTCATCGTTGTCCATCCACACCTCCACTTTTTTGATATAATGCTTGTCCTCACAGCATCCGCAACTGGGACCCGCCCTAAGATTGAATCTATTAAGTGTTCTGGCAAGTTGCTGATCCTATCTTCTTCAGCACAAGGTTCAGACATCCGTTTAGATTTCCCTGTCATTAGATTTTAAATAAATAGAGCTAAATTATTTCGGACTTTTGGTCGTGGTAACATATAATAAGTCATGAGAAGAAAAGGAATTTTTATTTTTTTGCAGAATTGCAGTACTTATGATTTAATGGTTGTATGCAATTTTAGGAACTGTAACTCACATATTAACATTTTTTGTGACAGCGCTATGGAATATTGAGGGGAAAGTTGTATACAAAGAAGATACATAATTTTACTGGAAAAACATAGCTTAACAATTCATACTTGATTGTCATGCATAAATAACAACTATTCTATCTTTCGAACGCATGTAATACGTATCAGTTTCTTGATTTCTGATTTTTGAGGGATACGTGATAAACTGACAACGATATTCATAAAAAGTAGAGTTTGCGAAAAAGAAAGCATGAACAACAGAATACAAATGGTGGTTTATGAGGTAGAAACGTACTCATCATCCCTTAAGCGACCAAGTAGTTTTTACCTGTAGGGGTTAATATAATAGAAACGCAAACAGATTGAGAAATTAGGGTTTACTGCCCACCAACCGGCCCCTGGATTTATATGGGACTAAATTACAAAATTGGTCACTTATTTTATACAATCGATATGTATTCCAAAAAGATATTATTTTTCAACTATTTTGGTTCCCTATCCGTTAGTTTTTTAGAGAGTAGATTGAAAAAGGGTCCATGTCGTATGTTGTTTGTTCTTTGGTAAAATCATGGGTGTTAAAAAATATCCTAATTCCAAAAATCCGACCCAAGTATCTAAAAGAAAAAGCAAAATTCCGGATATCGTATAATTTGGATATCTCGTTTCGAACACACTCCTACTTTGCGACGTTGGACAAAATATTTGTTTGTTTTCATTTGAAGTACTTAAATTGTAAAAAGATGAAAAGATAAGGTTGAAGCTATCACTACAAGAAAAGTATCCTTTACTGACGACATCTATGCCGACGACTAAGGTCGTCGGTAAAAAGTTAGCTATACCGACGATTCTGAAAACTCTAACCAACTATAGTTTACGGATTTTATAATTTCGATTTATATATTTTCCTTTGTGCTAAAACAAAGTTATGACGGCGTTTTGTGGATATCTATCCCAACAACATGTCGTCGGCATAAGACTTGGCGATCCGCGTGAAAAATCAAAAGTGGGAAAAATCGAAACGATGTAGCTTTATCTAACTCTATAGCGACGACATGTTGTCGGCATAGGGTTTAAGCCTAACAGATCTAAGTCAATCGACTTCATTTGCAACACATATGTGTTTTGTTTCTTTGTTGACCTCCGGCGACTCTCCTTTACCGGCAACGAGTTGGTATGCTTCTTAATCCTTCTATTCTTCTTTGTTAGTGATTGATGAAGTTATTTACTACGATTTTTGGTGGTTTTTTTCTCCGGCTGGCCTTCACAGTCCTTCACTACCGTCGACATCTACATCTCCTTCCGGTGTACATCGTCGGGTCCTTCACCACCTCTCTTATCACCGGTAGGTAAAATTCTGATTTTTTTTTTTCTGTTTTGGGATGTTTTTGGGAGATGTGATTTCTCAGTGTGATGTATGAAGTCTTAATTGCTAAACCAGAATGTGTGCTTCGATGAAACCGGAATGATTTATACAGTTCTTTTGGGGGTTTAAATACACATTTTAACTTTAGACATCTAGGAATATATTTAGTTTTGTGACAAAATTGCAAAAATGGTCCCTATGGTTTCTTATATTATGTGGTTATGGTCCAAACATTTGAAAACTTGCAGATTTGGTCATTTTCAACAAGTTTTATTGTGGTTTTGGTCCATCGTCCGTTAAATTTAACCGGTTGGCTGTTAACATTTTTAAAATGATAATTTTACCTTTAGGGACCATTTTTGCAGTTTTGTCTTTTACCATACCATAAGGACCATTTTGCATATATTCTTTTTTATTTTATTGAAGTATTATATATTAATAAATATTATTTTTAATATATAATATTATATATTAACAAATATTGTTTTATTGGATTATTAATTTATTATAGTTGATTTTTAATTTTTTTTGTTAGAGTAATTATTTTTATTAAGTTATTATATATCAATACATATAGTTTTTAATATATAATATTTAAATCATAATATATTATATTATTGGATTATTATTATCTTTTAGTTAATTTTTGTAATTTCTTTTTTTTTTTAAACTATTTTTTATTGGATTATTACTTTTAATTTATTATTTTCTTCATATACTAAATATTATTTTATCGGATTATAATAGTAGTTCTTGTTAATTTTATTGGTTTCACCACAAAGTCATGGAATACGCAAAATCGTCGTCTCTCATCATCGAAATCGTTAGGATCACTATCAAACACTTTCATTTCATCTAGCTTATAATGAGAAATCATTGGGAAAATACCACATCCATCATTCGGTCACCACCACCACTTATAAATGTTATCGGGGTTTATTGTGCATTATGTGGGATATGAAGGATTTCAATGGATTATGAAGAGGTTGTCGCAGGTGGCTACTAACAACGCTGGGTGAAATAGGGTATGGTATGTATTGAACCTCCGATGAAGATGTTAAAGGAGGTGATCTTGCTAATCTTTTACGTTGATAAGCGACACTTTTACGTATTTCGGCGACTTTGTGGTGAAACTAATAAAATTAAAAACAATTAATAGTATACATTCAAAATAAAATAATAATCCAATAAGATAATATTTATTATATTAAAAAAAGACAAAATTGCAAAAATGGTCCTTGTGGTATGTATTTTTTTGGGGTTTTGGTCCAAACCACGAGTTTTTTGGTTTTGTGGTCCTTTTGGACTGGTTTGTTTGTGAGAATGGTCCCTATACTTAACACCCGTTAAAAAGAATCCGTTAACCCCCTCATGTGCCTTGCACGTGAGGGTATTTCTATCTTTTTACTTACAGGGACCATTTTTGCATACGAATGTTAATGCTTCCTTCTACCTTTTATCCCTAATTTACAATACCAAACACCCGTCAACTCCACACCTCCCTCCTTCTTCCTTCTGCTCCATTAAACCTACAAAAACACATCCTTCGTTATCCAAAGAACCTAATCGAAGCAAAATGAGACAAGGTTATACTTTAAAGTCGAAATGATGTACGTAATGTGGCAGATCAGACCAAAAAATGAAGTTGTCGACGTATCATCCTTATATGGTAAGTTGCTATGTTTTCTTAAGCATTCATATTTTTCATTTTACCCTTGATTTATACTAAAATCCGCCAAATTTTGACTTTGTTATCATGTACAATTTTGACTTGTAGCGGGTGCATCCACATGGTTTAGTATTAAGCTTCATCATGGTGGGAAGTTTACTAAGTTACCTAACATAAAGTATATTGGAGGTGAAGTGCGTTATGTTGATTATGTGGACATAGATGAGTTTTTTGTACATGAACTTGATGCCATAATGCTTGATGACCTAGGTTACCCAGACCCACGGATGATTGAATTGACTGATGTATCCCAGTGATATACTACCATTTCAGGCTACCTAATGGTGACTTTCAATTTGGTCTTAGACCTTTAGGGAATGATCAGGATGTTATCAATCTTTCTAAATTTATTCAAAATAAAAAGTTGATTGAGTTGTACACAGAACATGGGAAGACAAATCTACTCACATACATTATGTCTCCAAATGCAAAGGGTGAATTTGCACTACAAAAAATATGTCATTTAGTGGCACACAAAAAGTGTCACGAAAACACAAAAAAATGTCACTAAAGGTTTCTTAGAGAATCTGCGGCACATATAACAAATGCCACTAGAAACGCTCCTACTAAAACCCTTTAGTGACACTTTTAGTTTTTGCCGCTGCAAATTTTTAAGCTTTTAGTGACACTTTTTTATTTGACACAGTAGATAAAAAGTTTTTTGTGGCACATATTTTGTGCCATTAAATGTCTCATTCTATTTAAAAATTTATTTGCCACTTTAGTGGCACTTGTTTATTTGCCATAAAACAAAAAATATTTTGTGGGACATATGCGCAAGTAAATACTAATGAAATTTTATAATTTAGGCTTACTTATATCAACATAATTTTTATCTATAAAAAAAATTATAATACGTAGAAAACAATTAAAATTCCATTAGTTTTTTATCAATATTTTTAAACTTTTCGAATCAAATGTCTAAATGTGGAACCAATTATGCGCTAGACATAGAGTAACAAACAACAACTAAAAAAACAAAAAACAAAAAAATAATAATAACTTGAAACTTAATTGCAAATGAACTTCTTTCCCAAACTTCATGCTAAGTTGAATAAATCTTATTATCTCGTACTCTTGAATCAATACTAGCAATTTCCTGTCAAAAAACAAACAAATACGATTCAAAATACGTTAAATAAGACATAGTTTAGAAAATAAATAGTAATTATGTACAAATTAACTATGTCGATAAGAACAAACTGAAGACGAAAGCAATATATAGATAAGCTGGAAAAGAAAATTGCATCAAGTATACTAGAGAAATATAAAACAAATGTTGAGGTCCCTATTGGAAAAGGAATCTACTTACAGATGCAGAAAATATGACTTTCAGTTATTACCAAGTATTGATCCATCTGGTCCCTTTGTGCATCGATTAACACATACTGATGCATTATCTTCCAAGATTGTCTGGACACAAAGTTAATCATGATTCATATCAGATATATATTCAAAATATTAAAAATGATACAATATATAATAGATAGGAATCTATGAACACAAACTAAACACCCTACAAGTGTATGAATATGGAAAGAAGCCAATGATAAAGGAACCTTACCCGAAAAGACATTGAGTGAGAAGATAAACCCCAAACTTTGAAGGGTTTATACACCATCCTTTCTCGAGTTCCGACATCCCAAACACTTATTTCAACATAATTTGTTCCAACTGCAAGATTCAATTTGCATATAAAGCTATAACAATCTATATACTTTTTTTTCTCCAATCCTTAAAGGAACAATAGCAATAAAGCCAAAAGACTGGGGATCAACCTAAGAGAATAGTTTGTTGTTGAGGATGGAAGTCCATAGATATGACCTCTGAACCATTCAGGTCAAGAAAACGAACCACAGTTTTTGGAAGATCAATAGGTGGATACACATTGGAATGATGTGTTTAATCACAAAAAGACTCCTATTCGACATATTAGATCATGTTATCATGGGAGGAAACATAACTATAGAGCAATGGAACTCAAACAATAAGAACATGGCACCAGGAGTGTTTAATGGTTGATAGGTATTGCATACCTCATCAGAAGCACCAACACATGAACATTTCATTAAATGCTCTGATGCAGCCATTTGATATTCCAATTGAGGATCACTTGGAGGTGTCCGTGGATGCTTTAGAAATGCAGCTGCACATGTAAGAGCAAACCATCAATTCATTCATTTTATGTGTAAATATCAATATATCATGGAATCGTAAAAAGTTTAATGAAAGCTAAAGTAAACCCAACATGCAACTCTAGGAGGTCTGGCTGCAACACTGTAATCTAGCATGGAAGGATTAGCAATTTCCATCCACCCATCAATTACACCAGCAGAAGGAGAAATAAGAAAAAAAAAAGGAAGGAAAATAATCTTTTTTGGGGTTATGCAAACATGTCAAATATGCTCAAACTAACAGCAAGATAGTAATACTTGGAATGACTAATTGAAGCTCTAGTATACTAAATATTTAAAATGGTATTTTGGTCTTTTTCTGAAATCTGATGGTGCTAAGACCTGGCATACTAAATTACTAATCAATCTAGTCCTATTTGTGTCAATATTGATTTTGGATGCATCTGGAATGGGATTAGATTATATGGAATAAAGGACAACGGAAGTGGTTTAATTTGGTATAGAAAAAGGAATAAAGGGTAATTTGGTCCTTTTTTTGGTTACTGTCAACTACGACGGACTCTGTCATGTCTGTATGAAGTATTGAAGCTATGGTTGGCAGGGGGAAAGTAGAATTCGGCTTAAGGATAATCAAGTTTGGTCCAATAAAAGTTTTAAAGGGTATTTTGGTCTTTTTATGGAATTTTACAAGAATTTGATATTTTTCAAGAAGGTTGTTGTTGTAATATTTCCTATTATGACATTTATACCAGGTTCTTCCATGAGCACAGAAGGAATGGGGATTATGGTCATTTTCAGGTGTAATATCATGGTCATTCCATCAAACATGTCCAGCCTAACCAAAATATAAATAGTTACTTAAAGAGTAAAATCTTTTAGAAGTTTTGAGAATTTACCTAGAGTGGTCACCTAACAAGAATGAGCTGCTGACAACATTGTTTCAATCCTTTTTCATCATGACTCTCATACTTGAAATGACATAATTAAAAAAATCCATTCGTATATGAAATAACCATGACTTTTCATAAAATAAAATTCACATTTGTTACAAATGCACCAAATTGCTCATATGATAATCTGCCTCCTTCAACTAAAAAAGACCATAATTGCTCATATGAAATAAGAAAGCTTATGCTTATACATACCTCCTTCACATTTGCTACAAATACACCAAATTGCTCATATGATAATCTGCCCCTAGTAAATCAAAAAAGAAGAGTGATGGATGATTAGCACTAGCAATATGAATGAGTCGAATGGTGAAAAATGAAAATGAGGGATAGGTATTTTCACCTCACTTGTCTAAAAAAAATACCATCCACTCAAGTGCGTCCTGCAACAAGCACAAAGTAGTGCACATTAGTGTCATTATGAACACTAAAAAATCAACATGCTTCCGAATGATTAAATTGGGACTTTCTACTGAACCTTTTTAACATATAAATAGGCTAGGTTAAGGTTACTAAATAGTAAGAACTTTTTGATAAGTCCCATGGATTCATGGAGTCACTTCACTTAGTCAAACTTTGATGGATTTGAGAGGCACCAAGTTAGTGTGATGTCCATGTGCCAACTCAGCAAATAAATAGTTGCATTTAACACGACACCATGTTAATACCACATCATTCTGAGCTGTCAAAATTGGACAGACTCGTAAACTTAGATCAGTAACACATATTTGATAGACAAAAGTTTCAAATTCTATAACTCATGAGATTCATCTTCAACTAGAAAGATGCAGATTGAAATTACCGATAAAAAATTCTACTAAGATGTAGAGGTTTATAAAAAATACTGCTATCAGGAATTAACTAAAGGCACGACTTACTTCTATTGAATTATTGCACTCGAAGGCAATGCTCGGATACACAAACTGAAAAATAAAAAATATATATAACAAATAAAAACTAACTTTGCCAAATTCGGTGGTCGGAGTGAAGAAAATAGTACCTGATTGAAGTCGAGTGGAGAAAAGATGGAGGTTCATTAGTCTAAATCTTCGGTGCACAGTGTTTTAGCATAGCATCAGTCGTGTTGTGATGTCGGAGGTGGAAGCAGTGAGCGGCAATGGCGACTTCGTGGTGTTGAGAGAAAAGAGAGATACGAGATTGGGGGAAAACTTTGTTTAGATGTTAACGCCTGCGAAGTAAAAGTGGAAAAAGATTGTTTTTTCTATATAAAAATATGTAGTAACTTAATTTTTTTTTGTGGCACAAAAACAAATCAATAAAATCACACAATAAAACATTAGCGGTATATAAAAATATATGATACAAAATATAGAGGTTTTAGTGGCATTTTAAATTTTTATGCCATTAAAAAATATTAATATTAGTGACATAAATTATTAAGTTCCATTAGATCTGTTAAATTTATAATGACATATAAAATATGCCATTAAAAACATATTATAGTGGCATAAAAAAGATATGTCATTAAAAATGTATGCCACTGAATGTTATTTTTTTTGTAGTGTTGTCATTGAGGAATTACCAGAAAATGATGATCAAGGGGCTAAATATGAGGCTGAAGTTCATGTAGAATCTCCATTGAGAAATATGAACCATGTCAATGATGAGCCAATTGGTGAGTACATGTCTTTGATTCTTTTTGGGAGTAAAAGTGATGCATTCTCTGTTGAGTCATGTAGGGATTACAAATTGCAGTTGATCAATTGTTTCCCAATGCTGAGCATAGGTATTGTATTATACATATTCATGACAATATGAGAAAGAAGTGGGGGCAAACTAAGTACAGGGACCATTTATGGAGGTGTGCATCCGCGACCACCATTCCTGAATTTGAACATTTGATGAAAGAGTGTAGTGAGTATGATAAGGAGGCATGTCAATGGTTGAAGTAGATTCCTCCTGTACATTGGTCAAGGAGTCATTTCTTAGGTAATTGTATATGTTTGCATATGGTAATGATTATATGTTTCAGTTATTTATCAGCATTAATTGTATGTTATTGTAATGTGCAGGAAGAGTTGTTTCTGATGTGTTGATTTCAAACATGTGTGCAGTGTTTAATGGGAAGATAGAGAAAGGCAGGGACAAACCTGTAATTTCATGTTTAGAGTTCATTAGGGAGTATCTAATGAAGAGGATATGCAATGTCAT